TAAACCCATGCCTCTCCAAGTGCAGATATATCCTGTCCTTCAGAATTCTTTCTAATAATTTCCCAATACAAAGGTTAATCTAACTGGCCTGTAATTTCCCAATCTATCCTTTCCTCCCTGTTTTAATAATGGGACAATATGAGCAGATTATCAGTCCTCTGGCATCTCACCTATTACTGCCAGGGTCCCTGATACCTTCTCCCTTACCAGCCTGGGATACATCTCATCCAGGCCTGTGGATTTCTCCACTTCTTAGGCTGCTAGTGCTTATAGTCATAGACTCAGAGATATATGCCACGGAAACAAACCCTTCAGTCCAACTTGTCCATGCCAACTAGATATCGTATATAAATCTAGTCCCATTTGCCAGAATTTGGCCCACATCCCTGTAAACCCTTCCTATTCATATACCTATCCAGATGCCTTTTAAATGTTGTAATCATAATAGCCTCCACCACTTCCTCTGGCAGCTCATTCCATATATGCACCACCTTCTGCGTGAAAAGGTTGCCGCTTTGGTCCCTTTTATATCTTTCCCCTCTCACCTTAATCCTATGCCCTCTACTATTGGACTCCCCTACCCCAGGGAAAAGACCTTGCCTATTTACCCTATCCATGCCCCTCATGATTTTATAAACCTCTATAAAGGTCACCCCTCAGCGCCCAAAGTTACAGGGAAAAAAGCCCCAGCCTATCAGCCTCTCCCTGTAGCTCAAATCCTCCAATCCTGGCAACATCCTTGTAAATCCTTTCTGAACCCTTTCTAGTTTCACAACATCCTTCCTGTAGCAGGGAGACCAGAATTGCACGCAATACTCCAGAAGAGGCTGAACCAATGTCCTGTACAGCTGGAACATGATCTCCCAACTCCTATACTCAATGCACTGAGCAATAAAGGCAAGCATACCAAATGCCTTCTTCACTATTCTATCTACCTGCAACTCCACTTTCAAGAAACTATGAACCTGCACGCCAAGGTCTCTTTGTTCAGCAACACTCCCCAGGACCTTACCATTAAGTGTATAAGTCCTGCCCTGATTTGCCTTTCCAAAAAGCGGCACCTCACATTTATCTAAATTAAACTCAGTCTGCCACTCCTTGGCCCTTTGGCCCATCTGATCAAGATTTCTCTCTCTGTTAAATTCTTCCATATTTCACAGACCTCTACCCTGATGTCTATACCTGCATCATCCTTTCCATTGTGAAGACTGATGCAAAGTATTATTAATGACATCTTTTGGGTCCCCACACAATTTCCCTCCATGGATCCTATTAGATTGTACTTTCTTCCTAGGTATTCTCTTCCTTTTTGTGCATTTAATAAAATTCTTTGGATTTTCCTTTATTCTACCCATTAATGCTTTCTCATGCACTTTATTTTTAACCCACCACTGACACAAACACACACACTTTTTATACTCTTCTATCGAATCTGCTGTATTAAGCCCTTAGTAAGTGCCATAAGCTTCTTTTTCTCAATCCTAATCTTTACATCCCGATACATCTAGAGTTCTCCAGTCTTCATCCCACCCTTTGTTCTTGTAACAATGTATTTGCTATACTCTGCCGTTTCTTCCTTGATTGAATCCCAATGGTCTCTTACAGACTTAGCTGCAAGTAGATACTCCTGGTCCTTTATTTGCAGTCCATCTTTTCTTTTTTTCTGTAACTATCTCAAATCTAACTGAGTTATGATCACTTCCTCCAAAATGCACCCTTCTCCTGGCCAGAACTGTTCCCTCCCTTGTTGGTCTAAGAAAGCTCTCCTGAATGCAATCTGAGTTTTGTTCTCTCCCTACTTTGCACACTAATTAGTCCAGTTAATATTTACTGGTTTAAATCCCCTATAATTATTGCTTGATTATTCTTACACTTCTGTAAAGGTTAAGTCAGATATAGAAGGAATACTTGGACAGTCCACTAGACAGAAGACGACATTGGCACAATAAGGCATCTGCACCTGGGAGTATGATATTGTTGCAATCACTGAGACATAGTTCAAGGAAGGATAGAATTTTAGTTTGCCTTCCAGACTCACTCACTAGTGTTTTAACTTCTAATTCTATCTTTGCTTCTTCCCCTTCTGAACTACCTACCAGATCTCACTTCCTGTCAATCTACTTTAAATCCAGCCCAACAGCATTGGCAAATCTCCTATAACGATGGTGGTCCTGCTCCTGTTTGGATGTAACCTGTCCAACTTGCACAGTTCCCATCTCCTCCAGCAATGGTCCCAATTCCTCAGGAATCTGAAGTCTTCCCTCCTGCACCATCTTTCCATTCATAGATTCATCTGCTTCATCCTCATATGTGGATTTTATCAGGAAAGTGCTTATTTGTTTGCTTTACATGTGTATTTGATTTAACTTGTGCAGTCAAGTCTTCTATTGTAAAGTTCACACATCTTTCCCTCCAATCAAAGTTAAATGTCTCCTTCAGTTCATAGACATATTTCAATATATGAGCGGACATAGAGGTCTAATTCATTCAGGACACTTCCACTATATTTCACTAGTCATCAGCTGACATTATCAATATCGCCAGGTTAAAATTAACACAGAAAGCCAAGGGAAATTAAAAACGTAAAAGTTTCAGTGATGTTCCTTGTTATAGTCTTCCCCAAATGGCTGATGTGAGCATCAGCCAACTGCCGAGCAAACAGCGACAGGCTCCTCCAACTAGTAATTACCAGTTGGACTGCTACCAGTACCCGACTGAGGAGACATCAACCACTGGCAACTACAATCAACCATCCTCAGTAGGTCAGTCATCCTGCTGGGCAGCCACTTCAATTGCTTCAGTTATACTACCTCCGTCTTCTGGGTACTGGTTGCCAGGACATGTACTGAGAGGGAGGTTACTTACAGCCTACTTGCAGGAGTAGACTATTTCGCTTCTCAAACCTGCTGTACCATTCAATAAGATCATGGCTGATCTGATTGTAACCTCAAATCCACATGCTTGCGTACTCCCAATAGCACTGGTCCCGAAACATTAACTCTGATTTCTCTTCACAGACACTGCCAGACCTGTTAAGCTTTTCCAGCAGCTTCTGTTTTTGTTTCCGATTTGCAGCACCCACGGTTTATTCGGTTTTTATTCAGCATTTCAGCTCCCTTGCTCAACAAGAATCTATTTAATCGCTGCCTTAAAAATAGTCAAGGACTATTCCACTCTTCAGGAAGACATTTCAAAGACTCATTATTCTCTGGGAGAAAATATTTCACCTCATTTGTTTTAAATGGGGGAGCCCCTGATTCTCAAACATTAGCCCCTAGTTCTAGATTCTCCCACAAGAGGAAACATCTTCTCCACATCCACCCTGTCAAATCCCTTCAGGGCCATATACTTTTCAGTCAAGTCGTCTCTTACTTTTCTAAACTTAAATAGATACAAGCCTAGCCTCCCAAGCTTTCCTCATAAGTCAACCCACGTGGTACAGGTACACTTGTGATAAATTTTCCCTGAATTGCCTCCAATACACTCACATCTTTCTTTAAATAAGGTGACCTGTGCTGTACACAGTATGTCCCACCAATGCCCTGTGTAATTGAAGTATAATTTCCCTACTCTTGTGTTCAACTCCCCTTCCACAAACAATGACATCAAGAGCAGGCAAGGAGTACACCTCACGAGTGTTGTCAGCATCAGGATTCCTTGTACATTTCTGACAGATTGGAAGGGTAGTTTTCCTGGACTTGTGAAAAGGGCAAGTTATGCCTAACATAACTGATTGAGCCTAATGGAGAGGTGACTGAAGTTATGGAGAGAGGAATGACAGAAATATTAAGGACACAAGGAAATTACCTCTGTTGCAGCAAATAGACTCGAATGTTGTCCACTTTCCAGCTCCTGCTCAGTTACTGTTGTACTGCTTTTCAAACCAAACAGAATTCAGCTTTCCAAGCCTGTCATCCTTTCAAGCAGCAAGCTCCAGGTCCTTCTGGACAAAAATAATGCTCCTGACCTCCCTTCTAATTATTCCATCTGACTTTCAATCTGACTCTTGATCATGTTTGTGCTTATGGAGGCAGAATAGTTCAAAAGGAATAATCCAGATCCGTCTTCATTTTACACACCTGAATCTCTCTTCAGCCTCCTATTCCAAAACAAGCACCTCTATCTTCCAAGTCAATTCTGCAGAACGGTGCCAATTCACTTGGTTTCTCTCTCCACAGATGCTGCCTGATCTGCTGAAACATTCCAGCATTTTCTGTTTTTACTCCAACCTATACAATCTTTCCTCATTGTCACAAATCTGAGGTTAAATGCTTAACAAAGTTCAGGCAAACACATTTCCAGTCAGAGTTTGATTTCTTGATCACACACCGCCAACTTGAGCCCCACAGATTACTTGATCTCCTTTTTATATTCGTATACCCAGTCAAGTACTTAAGCAACCATCCCTGAATTAACATATAACCATCACATATTCCAAGTGGTCTCACGTATCTCTGCCTAGATCCTGCTCAATGATAACACTATTTCCCAATTCTCTGTGTGAAGTAGTGATTCCACTGACAAAGTTTTAAAGATTGAATTTTAGACAAAACATTTGCTGTTGCACTCAATGTGGAATTTTCTTCTGCATTACAAAATTACTTGAAAACATAGGCAGCACCATACTTGCACTGAAGGCTGTGTGGGATTGAGTTCAACAGCCAGCCTGTATTAATATGATGGATGTGACACAGGCAGTAGTTCCTACACTAACCACCCTGGGTAAGAGAAGGAACAATTGACCAAGACTGCTCTCCTCGTCATTACAAAGCGAGTTCGACTAGGATTCCTGTGGGTAATAGAACACTGGATGACAAGGTGGGGCTCCTACAGGATCAAACATTATGGGCTTACCCTCACACATGTGGAGCAGCCACCTATACCTGATACCTGGGCTGTAAATGAGCCAGGAGTCAAACACAGCACAGCAGCAGAGAGCAGATAGAACAACTCACAAAACAGGGCCAACGTAACTAGGGAACTAAAGCTAAATAACTCACCGCAGTTCAGGGCAGTCTGACCCCCCATAGACAGAAGTATCCCATCAGGCTGCTCCGTTTTAATAATGTCAGTCACAAACTCTGGGGTCACGGGTAAGAAGTAAACTGTGTCCGCTTGCTTGGTGCCCACCTCGTTGGTCTGCACTGAGGCGATATTTGGGTTCATCAAGACAGTTTTTATATTTTCTTCCTAAAGGCAACAGCAGGGTAGACGATGAGAATCCACACTACACTCCACAAAGTCCACTCTCCACAGGTGCACTATACACTTCACAATCCACAATCCACACTGTGGCACCTGTCCTTTCACAGCATGACCACATACTTCAGCTGTTCCTTTACCTGGAGTTAGCTTCCACATACCATGTGGACAACAACACAGTGTGATGATGACAATATAGAGGCAGCTTTACACTGTATAGAAACCTGTTAAGAACCTGCCCTGGGTGCGTTTGATGGGAACAGAGTCTGATGGGGGGAACCTCTTTTACAGGGGCCTTGGCTGGGGATCCTGTTGACAGGTTCTGCAATTTTTGTTTCCTCACCTGTGGGATGTGAGCATCGCTGGCTGGCCAGCATTTGTTGCCTGTCCCTCGTTGCCTTTGAGAAGGTGGTGGTGAGCTGCCTTCTTAAACCGCTGCAGTTCACATGCAGATAGCAAGAACTGCAGATGCTGGAGTCAGAGATCAATATAGTGTGGAGCTGGACGAACACACCAGGTCAGGCAGCATAAGAAGATCAGAAAAGTCGACTTTTCGGGTTGGGACCATTCATCAGTCCCAATCAGACCCGAAATGTCGACTTTCCTGCTCCTCTGATGCTGCCTGACCTGCTACATTCCTCCAGCTCCACACTGTATTGACACAGTTCACATGCTGTAGGTTGAACCACAATGCCCTTCAGAAGGGAATTCCAGGATTTTGATCCAGTGACACTGAAGGAATGGTAATGTTTTTCCAAGTCAGGATGGTGAACAGCTTGGAGGGCACGTTTGAGGCAGCTGCCCCAGTGATGGTCAGAAACATCTGTCATTGCCCTGGATCAGGGCCTCCCTTATAAAGCAGTGACCATTTCTCATTTATACTGCCTGACATCAGCTGACCTGGCCACTGCTGGAACATGACAATGCTGCCAGGACCTGAGCAGAGGAAACAAGACATCAGCCAGAGACTCTGCTCAGTATCCAGACACTTCAGCAATTTGCAATGCTATAGCACCTTCAATGTACCAACACATCACAAGCCACTTCATACAACAATGAAAACACCGACAAAGAGCCATGTCAGATTTTGGGACTGTGATGTGAAGTTTGGTCAAAGAGGCAGGTGTTAAGGAATGTTAGAATGTAAGGATAGAGAGGCAAAGAGTTTAGAGAGGGAGCGACACTTTGTAAGATGTACAAGAGGAGCAAGTGCACGTGCAATGACGTTGATCAATGTCAGGCCCAGATAGTCACTGGTCAGCGATTAGACTGGAGCTGAGTGAGGATTCTGCAAAATACCTGACACAAGAGGCTGACGAAATTTCCCGCAAATTGAATTTACTGAGGGGCAATTTCCCTGCATCTGGAACCCCCGGCAGAGTCCATTAAAGTTTGTGAATTTGGAGGTGCCAACACACCTAACCACAACAGTTACCCAAGAAAGGTCACAGGATCAAAAAAAATCCTGCTCTAACTCCTGGATAACTGTTACCAACTCACCTGTCTACTGCATTCATGAAACCCTTAACAGCCGAGATCCTGACACCGCCCCGACCCAATACTCGACACTGACCCAACCTTGACCCTGAACCTGATACTGTCATGACCCCTGACCTCACTGTGACCCCGAATCCAACAGCACCCTGGCCCCTGACAACACTGCAACTCTCGACCACAGATACTGCCCTGACATGGCTCAAAACCAGCAGATCTAACATTGTCTTTGTCCAATCATAATTCCCTGGATCAGGCAGCTGTCTCGAAGCCTGTGACCTGGCTACCTCACCCCAGCCAAACCTACCTGAAATCCCAGTATACTCACCCACCAGCCAGCCTTTCCCTTCACCCATCTGGCGCCCTACCCTCTCACCAACAAGGCACCCTACACCCATCACCGACCTAGCTCCCTGCCACACCCCACAAATCACCCTCCTGACACTCTATGCCCCATATCTAACTTGCTTCTTCCCACCCTCACCAATCTGCACACCCCCCAATCACCCCTACACACCCTTCCTCACTGTCAGTGTACCTTTGGAACCTTTAACCAGCGTGAATCTTGAAATACAGCAGTGAGTACTGTAAAAAAGAATGAGACCTGGGCGCTGAGTGGACTCCTTCCTGATTACCTCCAGTTTGGAACAATCCAGACTTGGAAATCTGGCTGGAAAATTGCCAACTTGCAAATGAGTGATTTTAGAGAGGATTACCACTGGTGGAATCTATCCTGACTATGATCGGGCTCTCTGGGCCTTATTGAGGAACCAAAGGAGAACAGCCTCGTGTCTGGGGAGGTGTCACTGGAAACACAGTCTCCTGGGCCAGATATCAGACAAGTGTCAAGACAGGCAGACAGTGCTATGCTCAGGACAGCAAGTACAAACCCTCCACAGCTCACCTTTAAAGCTTTAATCGCCTGCGATCCAGAGTAATCAAACTCGCCAGCCTGGCCAATCGAGAGGCCTCCCGAACCCAAGACCAACACCTTCGACACCTGAAACAAGCAGCACAATGTCAGCGAGGATAACAGTGAAAGAAGGTAGCGATTCAGCCCTTCCACTGCCACTTCATTGTGTAGTTAACCACAGCACTTAACCACCAAATCACACAATTTTCAGCCAATCTCCACTGGGAAATTCTCAAAGAATCTCTGAGCCCAGTGGCTTTTGGGAGGGAGAGAATTCCAGGATTCCAGGATCCTTGTTCATGTGGACGTGATTCCTGACACCAGCCTGAGCAGCCGAGCTGGAATTGTAAGGATTCTCCCTGTTGTTCAGAATGCCCTGAGCAAGTTTGTTTTCTCTTGCTCCACCATCAAACCCCTAAACAATGTTAAACACCTCAATTAGATGACTCCCATTCAAAAGGGAGTGCAGCAACACTCTATGCAACCTGTACGCATAATTTCTAGGATTTTAATCTTGGGATCATTGTAATGAACTTTGCTCACCCTAATCCTCCCACACCGAGGTCTCTCTGCAGGATGCAGACCGGGGTCTCTGCTGAGCTGCAGACAATGACCCCACAATGTGTTGTAACTAATTCTCTGTACAGTTGTGACACCCCTCCCACTCTGACTAAAACGATAAACTTTCAACTGGGTTTCAACGTTCTCTGTGGTACTGTACTGCAAAAATTACACTGAAACAGAAGGTAATAAAATATTTCCAGTGTTATAAAGAATAGTTAAGACCCAGCAAGCCATGACAACACAGAAGGCAGAACCACATAAGCAAAGCATGTACTATGAAGAAAACTCTTGTGCTTTATCAAGGCTTGGAGAACAAACCAAAACCTTCAATTTTCTGAAAGAACACAAACCACAGTGGTAAGTTTCCTGCCCAAATAATCAAGAAACTGAGATACAGTTACCTGGGACTGTTAATGTGTTGTAAAACCCCATCTGGTTCACCAATGTCCTTCAGGAAAGGAAATCTGCCATCCTTATCTATTCTTTAATAGAATCATAGTTATTTCGTTGAATCCCTACAGTGTGGAAACAGGCCCTTCGGCCCAACATGTGCACACCGACCCTAGGAGCATCCCATCCCTCTGTAACCCACCTAATTTACACATCCCTGAACACTACGGGCAATTTAGCATGGCCAATCCACCTAACCTGCATATCTTTGGACAGTGGGAGGAAACAGGAGCACCCGGAGGAAACCCATGCAGGCACGGGGAGAATGTGCAAACTCCACACAGACAGTCGCCCGAACGTGGAATCGAACCCGGGTCCCTGGCGCTGCGAGGCAGTAGTGCTAAACACTGAGCCACCGTGCCGCCCTAAAAAAAAAAACTTTCATTCGTTCTATTCTGGCCTACATGTGACTCCAAACACAATGTAGGTGACTCTTAACGGCCTTCTGAAATGGCCTAGCAAACCATTCAGTAGTAACAATCACTAGAAAGTCTCAAATCAGTAACAAAACCAAACAGACCACCTGGCAACAGCCTAGGCACCAGAAACAGCCATGACAAAATGAGTCCCATCAACCCTTCAGAGTCTTCCTTACTAACATCTTGTGTCAAAATTAGGAGAGCTGTGTTACATACTAGGCAAACAACAGCCTCACATAGTCATACTCACAGAATCATATCTCACAGGCAATGTTCTAGATACCAACATTTCCATCCCACTGGCAGGACAGACCGAGCAGAGGTGGCAGTACAGTCGTATACAGATGGGAAGGGGTTGCACCAGGAATCCTCAACATTGAATGTGGACCACATGAAGTTTTCTGGCTTCAGGTTAAACATGGGCAAGGAAACCTCCTGCTGATTACCGTATAATCAGCTGATGAATCAGTGCTCCTCTATGTTGAGCAACACTTGGAGGAAGCACTGAGGGTGGCAAAGGTGCAGAATGTACTCTACGTGGGGATTTAAATGTCCACCATCAAGAGTGGCATGGCAGCAGCACTACTGACCGAGCTGGTCAAGTCCTAAAGTACATAGCTCCTAGATTGGGCCTAAGGCAGATGACGAGGGAACCAACAACAGGGAAAAACATACTTGACCTCATCCTCACCAATCTGCCGACTGCAGATATTGATTCTGTCACAGACAGATGTAAGAGTGACCACTGCACAGTCCTTGTGGAAATGTGTCCCACCTTCACAATGAGAACCCTTCAACATGTTGTGGGGGGCACTATCACCAAGCTAAATGGGACAGACTACAAACAGATCTAGTAACTCAAGGCTGGGCATCCATGAGGCACTGTAGGTCATCAATAGCAGCAGAATTGTACTCCAACACAATCTGAAACTTAATGGCCCAGCACATCCCCCACTCAACCATTATAATCAGTCAAGGGAGTCAACTCTGGCTCAATGGAGAGTGCAGGCAGGCATGCCAGAAGCACCATCAGGCACACCTAAAAATGCATGGTGAAGCTATCAAACAGGACTACTTGTATGCCAAACAGCATAAGCAGCAAGAGATAGGCAGGACTAAGCAATCCCACAACTAGATTTGATCTAAGGTCTGCAGTCCTGCCACATGCAGTCGTGAATGATGGTAAACAATTAAACAACTCACTGGAGGAGGCGGCTCCGCAAATATCCCATCTTCAATTATAGGAGATAGCCCAGCACATCAGTGCAACAGATAAGGTTGAAGCATTTATAAAAATCTTAAGCCAGAAGTTGCGCATGGATGTTCCATCTTGGCCTCGTCCATTAGTCCCCAGCATCACAGATACCAAACTTCAGCCAATTCGATTAATTCCACATGATATCAAGAAACAGTTGGAGGCACTGAATACTGCAAAAGCTATGGGTCACAACAACATTTCCAGCAATAGAACTGAAGACTAGTACTCCAGAATTTGCTGCTACCCTAGTGAAGCTTTTCCTGTACAGTTACAATACTGGCATCTACCAGACAATGTAGAAAATTTTGTAGGCATGTCCCATACACGAAAAACAGTACAAATCCAACCTGGTCAAATACCATCCCATCAATCTACTGTCAATCATCCGTAAAGTGATGAAGTGTCATCAACAGTGCTATCAAGAAGTGCCTGCTCAGCAATATAACCTGCTCATGAGCTTAACTGATAATTTTGGGAACTGATGATTGAGGGAGGTGTACAGGGCAGACAGCTCACAACAGCTCTTCAAGTAACACGCAGCATTTCTGATAGATGTCGAGGTACCGGTGTTGGACTGTGGTGGAAAGGGTCAGAAATCACACGACAGCAGGTTATAGTAAAACAGGTTTGTTTGAATACACAAGCTTTCAGACTCTTACTCCTTCTTCAAGGGTTAGTGAGAGAGGTTTTAAATCCCTTAGGATTTACATATACATATTAATCAATTAAAAACTTCTAAATGATTAAAGATTTAACAGCATCTTAGGTTTGTTTAGTACATCTCAATCAGTGGTGTGACCCTTTGATCTTTTACTTATAAATTCTGTGTCTGACACTAGCTCTCTCACTAACACCTGATGAAGGACTAAGAGTCCGAAAGCTTGCATTTCTGATTGAAATGTGGATAACCCAACTGGACCTAAGTTTAACAGATACAATAGCATAGTAGTTATTGTGCTGAACAAGTGATTCAGAAAACCCAAGGTCAAATCAGATCATGTCAGTTTGAGAATATTGGTATAAAACTGAAGCTCCTGAATTGTCATTAAGAACCTATTTGCCACAATCACGTGCTGTGGAGATGTGCGATTCCAGCCATATTTTTAACTGGCATCAAAAAGCTGGGGTAGTTCAAGGTGGCCGCCAAGATGATGGATTCCTGAAAAAGCAGGACTACAGGGAAACCTGACATAGAGAGAACAAGATAGATAAAGAGAGAGGGATGAAGAAAGGAGGAGGAAATTACAACAGAAAGAGAAAGACACAAAGCAAAGGATAACACATAATGTTTGTTAATTTGTTTGCTATAACAATTCAATCATCATATAACACTTTGCAGATGGATGAATTAGAGAGTTTAGTTCAGCCACTAGAAAATTTCCAAGGAAATTTGTCAAATTGGATCCACAATTGGCTGAGTGGCAGGAAGCAGAGGGAGATGGTTGAGGGTGTTTTTTCTGACTGGAAGTTTGTGTCCAGTGGAGGTCCATAGGAGTCAGTGTTGGGTCCCTTGTTGTTTGCAACAGCTCCAGGGACCCGGGTTCGATTCCACCCGCGGGCGACTGTCTGTGTGGAGTTTACACATTCTCCCTGTGTCTGCGTGGGTTTCATCCGGCTGCTTCGGTTTCCTCCCACAGTCCAAAGATGTGCAGGCTCGGTGGATTGGCCATGCTAAATTGCCTGTAGTTTTCAGGGATGTATAGATTAAGTGGGTTATAGGGGGATGGGTCTGGGCAGGATGCTCTGAGAGTCAGTGTGGGCTTGTTGGGCCAAAGGGCCTGTTTCTACATTGTAGGGATTCTACGATCAATTCTATGACCTATGATCTATGTCAATGATTTGGATTTGAATGTAGGAGGGTTGATCAGTAAGTTCACAGATGATATAAAAATTATTGGGATGGTAAATATGGAGGAGGGCAGCCTTAGATTACAGGTGATGTAGGTGGGTTGGTCAGATAGGCTGATCAGTAGCAAACAGAATTCAATGCAGATAAAGATAATGCATAATGCAGGACAAACATGGCAAGGGAATACGTGATGAATGGATGACCCTGGGAAGCACCAGAGGAAGGATCAGAGGGACCTAGGGACCTAGGTGTACGTACACCAGTCCCTTAAGGTATCAGGTCAGGTGGATAAAGTGGTTAAGATGGCATGTGGGATCCTTGCCTTTATTAGCTGAGACATAGAGTTTAAGAGCAGGAACGTTTTGCTGGAACCATCAAAACGTTGGTTCGGCCATAGCTGTTGTGTGCTGTTCTGGAATCCACATTATAGGAGGGATGTGACACCACTGGAGAGGGCGCAGGGGTAATTTATCAGGATGTTGACTGGGCTGGAGACTTTCACTTATGAAGAGAGATTGGACAGACTGGAGATGTTTTCTTTAAAACAGAGGAGTTTGAGAGAGGACTTCATTGAGATATATAAAATTATGAAGGGCATAGATATGGCAGACTGGAAAAATACATTTCCCCTTGATAGAGGGATCAATGACTAGAGGCATAGATTTAAGGTAAAGAGCAGAAGGTTGAGAAGAGATATGAGAAATGGCCTTTTCACCCAGAGGGTGGTAGGAATCTGGAACTCACTGCCTGTCACAGGGTGTTCGAGGCAGAAAGCCTCATAAAATTCAATAAGTATTTACATGGTTATTATTGACCAGAGTAGACTCAATGGACCGAGGGGCCTTTTACTGTGCTGTAGATTTCTATGACTGTATGACACCAAAGATAAAGAAGTCAAACCTTAAGCCTCTTAGGTGGTGGAGGGACTGCAGGCATCACTGAGGCAATGCTGGTTCCTTTTCCTTTCTTTATCAGTGAAATAAAAGCATCGAACAGGAACTGGAAAAAAAAATGGTGATTATCAACAGAGTGTCCTTCTTCAACTCTGTGCAGAGTGCCTCTTTGGATACACTAAGGTAAGGCTTCAAACAGGTTGGAACTAAATAGGCGGTTTCCTGCTGCATCCCTCAGAAGAAGGCCATTCAGCCTACCCTGCCTCGCCTGGAATCAGTGAACCCAGAATCTTACTCCCTTGCTCTTACTCCATAATACTACATATACCCCCCTTCAGAAATCCCAATGTCAACCAAACAGGCCTCAATAATCCTCCCCATTACTGTAGAGAACACAATCATTATTCTAATCAAGCAGGATTGGCCTTATCAAATCTGTAACATTTTTCATTTATCCATCCATTTGTTTTTGATGGATGCCAACTTATTTTGTCTTGAATGACTGAAAAGAATGTTACATTTCATACAGGCGGGGCTGGAGGGAGAGTGACATCAAATAGATATTGTGCTCCTCTGATGAAGAGTCATCTAGACTCAAAAAAGTTAGCTTGCTTTCTCTCCATGGATGCTACCTAACCTGTTGTGATCTGCAACACTTTTTGTTTTCAGTTCAGATTCCAGCATCTGCTGTAATGCACTCTTAGATGCAGTGAGCCTTTCAGCTTCTCACAGACTTAAAAAAATAGAAACCAGGAACAGAAGTAGGCCATTCAGCCCTACGAGCCTGCTCCATCATTCAATACGATCATGGGTGATCTTCTGTCTCAATGCCATATTCCCACCTTCTCCACATGCCCCTTAATGCCTTTAAGATCTAAAAATTATCAATCTCCTTCTTGAATATATTAAGCATTTTGTGGTAGAGAATTCCACACACTCATTACCCTTTGAGTGAAGACATTTTTCCTCATCTCAGCTGTAAATGGTCTACTCTGTATCCTGGAACTGTGTCCACAGTTCTCGACTCCCAAACCACAGGAAACATCCTTCCTGTGGTTAGTCTGTCCAGCCCTGGTAGAATTTTACACGTTTCAATCAGATCCCATCTCATCCTTCTAAACTTTAGTGAATACAGCCTCCATAGAACCCATGTCTCCTCATATTATAGTCAGGCCTTCACCAGTATCAATCCAGAGAACCGCTGTTGCACTCTTTCCATGGCAGATATATCCTCTCTTGGGTAGGAAGACCAAAGTTGCATACAGTTTTCAACCAATTCGCAATCCATTATATATATTAGCCCCTTATCCCATGTGCTTTAACTTTACCCACTAACCTCCTTTGTGAGTCCTCATTATTACTTTCTGAAAATCCAAAATAGACCACAGCTATTCTCCGCTATCTACTGTAATCATTACATCCTTCAAGATTTGTTAAACATGATTCATTTTTCATAGCATGCTGGCTATGTGCAATCCGGGTAATGCTTTCCAAATGGTTTGATATGATGTCTTTTATAATAGATTCTACCATTTGCTCCACTACTGATGTTAGGCTAACTGGTCTATAATTCTCTATTTGCGTTTGGCATTTGCCACCCTCAAATCAAAAGAAACTGTCTGAAGTCTATAAATTTTGGAAGATGACCACCAAAACATCCAATATTTTCTGGGCCTCTTCCTTGGATGTACTCTGAGATGTAGTTTGAGTCCTAGTGATTTGGCAGCCTTTAACCTAATTAATTTCCCAAGCACTATTTTCTTAGTAATACTGATTTTCTTCAATTCCTTCCTTTCACTAGACTCTTGGCTGCCTGACATTTCTGTGAGGTGATTTGTGCCTTCTTTCTGAAGACAGAACCAAAGTTCAATTCTTCTGCAATTTCTTTGATCCCCATTATTGTTTTTCTAGCTTCTGACTCTAAGATACCTACATTCATCTTTACTAATCTTTTTCTCTTCACATATTTATAGAAACTTCTATGGTCAGTTTCTAGGTTCCCTACAATTTTACTCATACTCTATTTTGCCCTTCTTGACCAAACTTATTGTTCTCTTTTGCTGAATTCTAAAATGTTCCAAATCCTCAGACTTGCTGCTTTATCTGGCAATTTTATATGTCTCCACTTTGGTTCTAATATTATTTATAATTTCTTTTATCAGCCACGGTAGAGCCAACCTTCCTCTCTTACTTTTGCATCAGACAGGAATGAGTAATTACTGTAATTCTTGCCCATATTCTTTAAATATGAACCATTGCCTATCCATCATCATCCCTTTGGTAAGGTTCCCCACTACATCCTCACCAATTTGTGCCTCATACCACATAATTCCCTCTATTTAGATTCTGCACCCTGGTTTTGGATTCAAAAACTTCACTCTCTATCTTAATGAAGAATTTCATCATATTATGGTCACTCTCCACCTAGGGTCCTGCACAACAAGATTGTTAACCAATCATTTCGCATTGCAGTACACAGTTCAGAATAGCCTGTTCGCTGGCTGGTTCCTCAACGTATTGGTTGAAAAAAACAATGACATATAAACTTTAGGAAATGCTTCTGTATAATACCATTGCTAATTTGGATTGTCCAATCTCTATGTAAACTAAATTTACCCATGATTACAGTTGTACCATTATTGCATACATCACTTATTTCTTGTTTAATTAATGCCTTCCCTTGCATCTTCACTACTGTTTGTAGGGCCTTTTGATAACCCTCAACAAAATTTTCTGCCCATTGTGGTTTCTTACCTGCACCCATACAGATTTCGGATCAAGATTTCCTGAGCCAATCTCCTTCATCTTATTGCATTGATTGTCTCCTTTACTAACAATGCTCCCCTACCTCCGATCCCATTTTTTCTGTTCTTCCTAAATATGAACACTCTTGGGTGTTCAGTACATATCCTTGCTCATCCTGCAGCCATGTTTCTGTATTGGCACCTACATCATAACCGTTTATGTATATGTGAGCTACAAGTTCATCCAACTTACTGCGAATGCTTCATGCATTATGTGTATTCAAGCACAAAGCCTTTATATTTAACCTTATTAGTATTCTTAGTTTAGAACACAGAACATAGAACATAGAACAGTACAGCACAGTACAGGCCCTTCAGCCCACGATGTTGTGCCGAACTTTTACCCTAAACCTAAGGTCTATCTAACCTCCACCCCTACCTTATACTATCATCCACATGCCTATCTAATAGCCGCTTAAATGCCCCTAACAAGGCCAACTCCACTACCCTCTCCAGCAATACATTCCACGCCCCTACCACTCTCTGAGTAAAGACCCTACCTCTGACGTCTTTATTTTGCAGTATGACCCCATATGTTCTTCGCGTTTGCTTTTTTCTACCTTCCACATTAGCTTCTTACATTTCAGTCTTTTGTTTGCATCCTTGTTCCCTTCCCCAGGTTCCAATTCCACTCAGTCAGTGGAATTTTCCCAGCAGTAAGACAGCAGTAGGGCAAATCCCCACCCAAACCATGGAGCATCAATGACAGACTGAGACACAAACATGGAGCATCAGAGTGACTGAAACATGGAACGACAGAAAGAGGGGTAGAGCGTCAGGGAGATAGAGACACAAGTTGGTACTGCATCCGAGTGTTAAACTGTGACAGACTGCATCTCCCTCAGACAGCTCCATTTTCCCTCAGCGTCAGAAGGATGTCGCACAAGGCCTTGTGTCTGTTGACGTGGACAATGAAGTGAGTGAACATCCCTAGGTGGTATGGATTCTCAGTCTAATTTAAATCTGCTCAGAGAACACATTGAGATTTCAGCTCAATATCTGACTCCTGCTCTATACAGGATCAAACAAATTCAACCTGTGCTCTTGCAGAATACTTTTGACAGAAGCTCGGCAATGTTGTTGTTTGGAGTTGCTCCTTCTCTGGGTTTTGAGTGGAAAATGGTTTCACTTACTTCAGTATCTGTTGGTCCTCCCTTCGCCTCTGGATGAAATTGTGCTGTAAAAATCGGTTTGCTCTCGTGGACGATTCCCTGAAATTGAAGAATTCAACTTTTACTTTTTCAGAGAAAAGCCGCATGTTCCCAGTTCATGATGGGGAATGAATATAGACATAGAAACATAGAAAACAGGTGCAGGAGTAGGCCATTCAGCTCGTCGAGCCTGTACCACCATGCAATACAATCATGGCTGATCATGCACTCTCAGTATCCCATTCCCGCCCTCTCCCCATACCTCTTGATCCCTACAAGGGTCATGTCCAGATCCCTCTTGAATATATCTAATGAACTAACACCAACAGTTTCCTGTGGGAGACAATCCCAACAGGCTCACAAGTCTGAGTGAAGAAGTTCTTTCTCATCTCAGTCCTGAATGGCTTATCCCTTATTCTTAGACTGTGACCCCTTGTTCTGGACTTCCCCAACATTGGGAACATTCTTCCCGCATCTAGCCTGTCCAGTCCCATCAGGATTTTATATGTTTCTATGAGATACCCCCTCATTGTTCTAAATTCCAGCAAATACAAGCCCAGTCTTTCCTCGTGACAGTCCTGCCTTCCCAGGAATCAGTCTGGTGAACCTTTGCTGGACTCCCTCAATAGCAAGAAATGTCCTTCCTCAGACTAGGAGGACAAAACTGGACAAAATATTCAAGCTGTGCTTCACCAGGACCTGTATAAGTGCAGCAAGACGTCCTTAGTCCGATACACAAATCTTCCCACTATAAAGGAGAGCATGCCATTAGCTTTCCTCACTACCTGCTGCACCTGCATGCCAACTTGCAGCAACTGTTCCACTATAACACTCAGGTCTCGTTGCAGCTCACCATTTCCTAAATTTCTACCATTCACACAATAATCTGTCTATCTATTTTTGTGACCAAAATGGATAACATCACGTTTATCCACAATATATTGCATTTACCAAGTATATGTCCACTCAGCCAGTCTGTCCAAGTCACCCTGCAGCCACTTAGCATCCTCCTCACAGCACACACTGCCACCTAGCTTCGTCTCATCTGAAAATTTGGGGATATGGCATTCAATTCCTTATCCAAATCATTAATGTATATTGTGAACAGCTGACATCCCAGCACCATACCTTGCAGCACCCCACCCGTCACTGCCTGCCATTCTGAAAAGGACCTACCTTTTCAGGTAGGGTATTCGCAGCAATAAGTAAGGGTAAGGGTTTATTAAATTTTCTTAAACATCTTAATTGGGGATAGAAATGTCAAGTGGGGTTAAGTGCTGCACTTATGAGATGTGGGAGATCTGCGACGCTTCCAGTGTCTCGGATGACTACATCTGCACGAAGTGCACCCAATTGCAGCCCCTCACAGACCGCATGGATAGGTTGGAGTGGCAATTGGATGCACTTAGGAGCATGAGGCGTGGCGGAAAGCATCATAGACAGTAATTTTAGAGATGTGGTGACACCCAAGGTGCAGGCGTAAAGATGGGTGACCGCTAGAAGGGGCAGGCAGACAGTGCAGGAATCCCCTGTGGTTGTCCCCCTCTCTAACAAATACACCGTTTTGGATACTGTTGGGGGGAAATAACCGATCGGGGGTAACAGCAGCAGCAGCTAGACTGGTGGCACCATGGCTGACTCTGCTCTTAAGAAGGAAGGACAAAGAGCACTAGAGAAGTAGTTATAGGGGACTCTATAGTTAGGGGTACAGATAGCCGCTTCTGTGGGCATAAAAGAGACTCCAAGATGGTGTGTTGCCTTCTTGGTGCCAGGGTCCAGGATGTCTCTGAATGGGCAGAAAGCATTCTGCAGGGAGAGGATGAACAGCCAGAGGTTGTGGTACATATTGGTACTAATGACACTGGTAGGATGAGTGATGAGGTCCTGTACCAGCAGTTCAGAGAGTTAGGTAGAAAGTTAAAAAGCAGGTTGTAATCTCGGGATTACTCCCTGTGCCACGTGGCAGTGAGGCCAGACATAGGAGACTAGTACAGCTGAACAGATGGTGTAGGAGGGAGGGTTTCAGATATCTGGACCATTGGGATCTCTTCCAGGGCAGGTGGGACCTGTACAAGAAGGATGGATTGCATCTAAACTGGAGGGGTACAAATATTCTGGCTGGGAGTTTTGCTGGTGTCACTTGGGAGGATTTAAACTAGTTGGCGGGGGGGGTGGGAACCAATGCAAAGGTGAATGGACTGAATGGGAACTACACAATAGGGCCAAGTAAGCCTCCAAGGAAGAGCAGGCAGGGTGTGGTTGCTGATCAAAGCGGATCTGGTGGACTGAAATGCATCTGTTTCAATGCAAGAAGTGTAACAGGTAAGGCAGATAAAATTAGACCTTGGATTAGTACTTGGAACTATGATGTTATTGATATTACAGAGACTTGAGTAAGGGAAGGACAGGATTGGCAGCTTAACATTCCAGGATACAGATGTTTCAGGCGGGATAGAGGGGAATGTAAAAGGGGTGGGGGAGTTGCACTACTTGTTGAGGAGTATATCACCACTGTACTGCGGGAGGACAACTTCAATGGCTCATACAGTGAGGCAATATGGGTAGAGCTCAAAAACAGGAAGGGCGCACTCACAATGTTTGGGGTTCACGACAGGCCTCCCAACAGCCATCGGGAGATAGAAGAACAGATATGCAGGCAGATTTTGGCAAGATGCAAAAGTAACAGGGTTGTTGTCGTGGTGATTTTAACTTCCCATATATTGACTGGGATTCACTTAGTGCTGGGGGCTCGGATGGAGCAGAGTATATAAGGAGCATCCAGGAGGGCTTCTTGCAACAGTATGTAGATACTCCAACTAGGAAAGGGGCCATACTGGACCTAGTATTGGGGAATGAGCCTGGTCAGGTGGTCGACGTCTCAGTAGGGAAGCAGCTCCGGAACAGTGATCACAATTCAGTAAGCTTTAAGGTACTGATGGATAAAGATAGGTGTAGTTGTCAGGTGAAGGTGCTAAATGGTGGGGGGAGAAGGCTAATTACAACAATATTAGGCAGGAACTGAAGAATGTAGATTGGAGGCAGATGTTTGAGGGCAAATCAACATCTGGTATGTGGGAGGCTTTCAAGTGTAAGTTGCTCGGAACTCAGGACCACTATGTTCCTTTAAGGATGAAGGATAAGTATGGCAAGTTTAGGGAACCTTGGAATAACGAGAGATATTGTGAGTCTAATCAAAAAGAAAAAGGAAGCATTTATCAAGGCTAGGAGGTTGGGAACACACTAAACAAGGATGGAATACAAGGAAAGTCAAAAGAAACTTAAGCAAGGAGTCAGGAGGGCTAAAACGGGTCATGAAAAGTCATTGGCCAACAGGATTAAGGAAAATCCCAAGGCTTTCTATACATATATAAAGAGCAAGATGGTAGCCAGGCAGATGGTTGGCCCACTCAAGGACAGGGAAGGCAATTTATGTTTGGAGCCAGAGGAAATGGGCGAGGTATTAAATGAGTACTTTGCATCAGTATTCACTATAGGGAAGGACTCGCTGGAGGAGCTGTCTGGGGAAGGGTGTGTAGATAGTTTGGGTCATGCTGAGATCATAAGGGAGGAGCTATTGGGGGTCCTGACAAACATTAAGGTAGACAAGTCCCCAGTGCCAGATGGGATATACCACAGAATACTGAGAGAGGCAAGGGATGAAATTGCTGGGGCCTTGAGGGAAATCTTTGTATCCTGACTGGCTACAGGGGAGGTCCCAGAGGATTGGCGAATAGCTAATGTTGTTCCTTTGTTTAAGAAGGGTGACAGGGATAATCCAGCTAATTACAGGCCAGTGAGCCTTACGTCAGTGGTAGGGAAATTATTGGAGAAGATTCTTCGAGACAGGATTTACTCCTGCTTGGAAATCAATGGGCGTATTAGCAAGAGGCAACATGGTTTTGTGAAGGGGAGGTTGTGTCTCACTAACTTGGTTGAGATTTTTGAGGAAGTGACAAAGTTGATCGATGAGGGTAGGGCAGTGGCTGTTGTCTACGTGGACTTCAGTAAGGCCTTTGACAAGGTCCCTAATGGCAGGGTGATACAAAAGGTGAAGTCGCATGGGGTCAGAGGTGAGCTTGCAAGTTGGATAAAAAACTGGCTCAGTCAAAGAAGACAGAGGGTAACAGTGGAAGGGTGCTTTTCTGAATGGAGGGCTGTGACTAGTGGCGCTCCTCAGGGATCAGTGTTGGGACCTTTGCTGTTTGTAATATATATAAATGATTTGGAGGAAAATGTAACTGGTGGAATTGCAGATAGTGATGAGGACCGTCAAAGGATACAGCAGGATATAGATCAGTTGGTGACTTGGGCAGAGAGATGGCAGATGGAGTTTAATCTGGAAAAATTTGAAGTATTGCATTTTGGAAGGTCTAATCCAGATGGAAAATAAACAGTAAATGGCAGAACCCTTAAGCGTACCGATAAGCAGAGGGATCTGGCTGTACAGGTACACAGGTCTCTGAAAGTGACAACGCAGGTGGAAAAGGTAGTCAATAAGGCATATGGCTTGCTTGCCTTCATCGGCTGGAGCACTGAGTTTAAAAATTTGCAGGCAATATTGCAGCTTTATAGAACCTTAGTTAGGCCGCATTTGAAATATTGTGTTCAATTCTGGTCTATCAGAAGGATGTAGTGGCTTTGGAAAGGGTACAGAAAAGATTTACCAGGATGTTGCCTGGTATGGACGACATTAGCTATGAGGAGAGGTTGGAGAAACTTGGGTTGTTCTCACGGGAACGAGAGAGGTTGAGGGGCGACCTGATAGAAGTCTACAAGATTATGAAGAGCATGGGCAGAGTGAACAGTCAGAAGTTTTTTTCCCAGGGTGGAAGAGTCAGTTACCAGGGGCCATGAGTTTAAGGTGCAAGGGGCAAGGTTTAAAGGTGATGTACGAAGCAAGTTTTTTTTATACAGAGGGTGGTGGGTGCCTGGAACTCACTGCCGGGGCAGGTAGTGGAAGCAGATACTATAGTGACTTTTAAAGGGATTCTTGACAAATATATGGATAGGATGGGAATAGAGGGATATGGTCGGGAAGGGTAGAGGGTTTTAGTTGTGAT